TAAACATTTAGCCTCGTCACACCTGGGTGCTCACATAGCTGCCCAATATACGTCTCTCTGGGGGGTGGGTCCTCGTAAGTCAGTGAGACTACCTGTGGTTAAAAAAATCTGACCAGTGAAGTTACCAAACAGGTCACAGTGGACCAGTGAAACTGGTCCACTGTGACCTGCTGTACCCCCAGCCTGGGGGTTAATCTGAAGCACTACAGAACGAGTTTGTTTAAACAATGTTGATGAAGAGTGAGCCTAAAATTTGCAGTTACGCCTTCAGGAATTCATATTTATTGACCATGTGAAACTGTAGTTGCTGTAATTCAGAGTCAGAGTCAGAGATTCTTTATTGTCATTCGCACCTCATGTGGTTCATGTGGTGGAGGGAAATTATGTACACAGGGTCCCAGTTACATCCAACAATAAAATGTATAAGAAAAATAATAACATCTGATATGAACTAAGAAAAGCATCAACTAAATATACACTAAGCACTCATAACATAAAACATTGAACATCAGCACAAACATGAACATGAGTCTGTGTGAGCAGATGTGCACGCATGAACACATCAACATTGAAACAGATCAGCAGCAACATGAAACAGATCAGCAGCAACATGAAACAGATCAGCAGCAACATGATGTGATTTTTTTCACAGTGATTATTCTGGTTAGAGATTCATAATGTGATCTAACAAATCCAGGTTTTCTTTAACAATCTATTTTGTTTGTTTGTTTGTTTGTTGCACCCTACAAGGTGGTTCAAAACGACCAAGGTCGCTAGAGGTTGTTAGTCTTAGCTGTGTTTGGATTAACCGTAAACTATTTCACCAAACTTGAGCCCAACAAAACAACTTCCAAAACCCTTACTGAAACATCTAAAACCATTTCACCTTAAACCTCCAGGGGAAAAGACAGAATAAGGTCACATGGATGCAGTTTCAGACTCTCTGTGGTGGTGGAGCGCCCTGCCAGCCGTTTATCTGAGAGCCGTGGAAACTCAGGACTGAGGTGGACTTTAGAACAAAACTTATTTGTGGATTTTTTATTAGTTTTCATTAAAGAGAAAAGTCCCTGACATCGACAAACACGAAGATGGTTCAAATCTAATTTAATCAAACCAAATCAAAAACATTATTAATATATATCGCCTCTTACAGTAAAAAACTGCTCAAATCAAACTCTAAAACACTCCAGTGTGATTAGCAGCAGCTGAACTAAAGTATCCCAGGTTTCAATAGAACCTGTGTCTCTGCAAATTTTAACCTTTCTTATGTAATTTTCTATTAAATCACTTTGATGTAGTAAGAAAAAAACTGAATGTTGCATTTTAAATCTAAAGGAAAAAAAGACACTTGGATATAGTAGATGCCCCCCTATGCTCTGTGCAGTAATAAGACAACATGCTATGCAGCAATATTGATGATATGTGGGGGGGTCTGAGGAGGTTTAAAGGTATCAACTGTGTCTTTGTGCTACTTTATGAGTCACATGAGGGGGAAGACATTCTGACTTCACAAGTGTTATTATAGTTTTACACCACTGATCTAAAAATAACTCCTTCATGTTTTTATTGCTGCACCTTCAGACATGATCCCCCACTAAGGATGGCTTTGATCGGTTGAAAAGGAGCACTGTCTGGACGGGGCTGCAGAGGGAGGGGGCGCTTTGGTCTGGATAATATTTAGTTATGAGACGCAGTGTCCAACAAGAGAAATATATGCAACAACTGAACATTTAGCAGAGAAGCAGCAGGTTCATTTTAGAAGAGTTTGAAAAACAAGAATCAGTGTCAGTTTTACTACCTGGCTGTTAGCGTGTTTTACTGCGTTAGTTAGCATCTTGGTCCTTTTACTGGAGCGTTGCTGTTTTATCATTTAGCTAGTGTTTAGCTCCTTTTAGCTTCAACAATTCAGCTTCATTTGTCAACAAAACCATTCAGCTCTCAATGTTCACGCCGTATTTTCACAGAAAATGTATGGGCACCAGTGACCCCCGCGACCCGAAAAGAAAGACGCGGGTAAAGATAATGGATGGATGGATGGATTCCTCTCGTTTGTTTAAAATCTCCTGTTGCTTTAATTAAAAAAGGTTGTTTTAATTTACCAAATAAACAAACAGAAAATATCTCAGCAGCTTGTGTTGACCGTAGTGTAGTTTTGCATGCAACATTTTTCCCTGCAGAAAGAAAACGGGACTCTTCAGGTCCGATGAGACAAAAATCTCTGCTTCACCTTTTTATTTATCGCCTTTAAATAGACCTGGCTCTTAAAATTAAGGAACAAAGAGTGTTCCTTAACAACTTAATGTGGAACATGTAGGCCTGTCGTGATAAACAATGAATCAATTAATCGCATGGTAAATTAAAATGATCGTACTCGTTTTAATTTATCGGCTTTATCGTTTCTTTGTGTCCCTCTCGTTCTACTGAAGACACTGGATGACAACAGGTTCAACTCCGGGGCTCTTCACTGACGCCCCTCCCCCCACCCCCACCCCCACCCCACACACACACTTTCTCTTTAAAATCTGTTTTAACCATCCCAAAATCACGTTTTGGGATGGTTAAAAGCAGCTAAGCTACGAGCTAAGCTAACAGGCCGACCTCGGGGAAAAAAAACCTTCGTCTTGTCGAAGTTCCAAAATTGAAACCCGTGCTTTTGTCTAAACAGTTTTTCTCTGCAAAAAGAAGCTGAGAACTTGTTTACTGGTGTTTTATTAAAAGCTTTGTGTGAAAAACGCTTTGCTAAAGAGCTCAAACCACACCGAGCGTCCGCCATTTTAAGAACTGAAGAACAGGAACGAGAGACAGCCCATGTCAAGTCAAGGAGCCTCCCTCCCTTTTTTATTAAAGAGACACGCTGCTCGCTCACTCACTATCCATCCATCAGTTCAAACAATCTTATACTGCCATCAGTGGTCAAAATAGGTACTACACACAAAAATTTACAAACATGTCTTCTTAAATTTGACAATAATTACTAATTATTGTCAAATTGCAAATAATATTATCGTTTATCGCAATAATTTCTGAGACAATTAATCGCCCAGCAAAATTTGTTATGACAGGTCTAGGAACATGTCTCTTTTTTAGGTTATAAACACACACACACAGGTTTGTCTTGCTATCTTTACATGGACTTTGCATTGACTTCCATTAATTTTTCATTAATTTCTATAGCCTGACTCTTACACTAAACCTAACCATTACCAGTAGATACCTAACCCTAAACCCACCAGCAGCACTTGAACTGGGCTTTGGTCCTCACAAAGACCAGTTGGTCCTCACAAAGTAGTATGTGTTCAAAAATGATCCTCACAAAGTAACACAAACAAGCACATGCACATGTACTGTATTCAATCACGTCTCCTCCTGGATAATAAAGCATGTGACAAGAACGAATGAATCAATCTGTCAAGAGGTGTGTGTGCATCATAAAAGCTGTCCTGCTTCAAACACACACACACACACTGACCCAGTGATGCACAGCACACCTGGCCACAAGTGTACAGCAGAAATGGAAAAGACAAAGGAGGTGAAATAAAAAAAACACGCATGTGTGGATATCAGGGCATGATTTACATGTAGAACACATGAAACACACACACACAGAAAGCTCAGACTGAGTGCACCACGCTGCTGAGGCTGACGTCATCGTGCTCCACAGAACGTGGATCAATCGGTGTTTCCAGCGTTCCATAGTAGCGGATGTAGATTTAACAACAGCAGCAGCTTCGTCACCATCTTGTTCCCGTGGAGCTACGGTCACATCCAGCAGCTCCGCAACGACTGAGTCATCAACTCAACAAGCCTGTTGCTCATAAAATATGGTGCAAACAATAACGGACACGTGTCTGGTGGCGTGCGATGGGACTGTTGTGGCTGCTTTAGTGTCTTACTTTATCTGTGCTTTAAAATGTAGAAGCATTACAAAACAGTATTATTTTACTCTTGTTATTATTATTATTAAGCAAGGTACAATATCATTTAGACAGCAAAGGTTATATAAATTGCATTTTTAAGCAAATAAATCATTTATTTATTTATTTTTGTTTTAACACCATGAAACCAAGTTTTTATTTTTATTTCATTTCTTAAACCTGTCAAACCATCAGCATGTCATACTGGCTCAGGCCTGCTGGTGTCTACAAACTAAGGAAATGCAACAGAACAGAAGACCCAACGTGAAAACTACGAGTTGTACTGCAACGAACAGCTCAACCATCAGGGTACGTCATATTAATGTGTCTGCAGTGAATTATGTAGGCACTGTGGCAAATTAAACTAAAATCCCTTTTTGAAGTTTATGTTTTGAACCTTTTTCTCTTTGCAAACTTCTCCTCCCAACAGTCAGAACGCACTAGTCCCAGTTATTGAACGGGTTTTTCCAAAACAGCCAGCTGTAAATGGTGATCGAAACAGAAGTCTCGTTAAGTTACGTGGAAATCCTTAAAATGTGAAAGGGAAAATGTTGAGTTAAAGGCCAGCCCTGCCACAAACTATCACTGATGTGCTCATCCCCAGGGTGTGTGTTATAATTTGTGTATTTACAGTCTTATATATATATATATAAAAAATACGGCCTCTGGACGTGGACTGCACAGAAACCACACATCCATGGGGAACATGCTGGAATAACTCATCACTGCTTTATGTGGCTCCATTTTATATTATATTTAAACTGCTTTAGTGTGGTGACAATCCTTTGGCCTCTTTTCATTCATCGTGTGTGAAGGACAGCTCGTCTGTAAAACTGGAAAGCTGCATTTTCAGGTAAGCACAAAATAAACAACCAAACAGCTTATTCTTAAATTTGAAAAATTAAAATGCAACAAATAAGTAAAATGTTACCTAACTAGAAAATTCATATTTAGGTACATTTTTGTATCAAGTTGAATTAAGGACTTTTTAGCTAAATAACCAACCTTGTTTAACCACTTGACAAGCTCACTTACTGTTTATGATCAAAGCAGAGCAGAAATGGTGGTGAAATTATTTAAACTCACCCTGTGGTGTTCAGAAGAAGAAGAAGAAGAAGAAGAAGCTCCTGTCTGATCAACAAACTGCTTGCTAGCTGATGTCCAGGCAGTATTTTCCTCCAGAGCAGCTCCTTCTTCATGAGAAACCACCGTCGACTCTGAGATGAATGAAGCCGCTGCGTCTCCTTGTCAACAAATTAGCATAAACCCCGCCCCCCCGCGCGCTACGATTGGCCACCACTCAGGAATCCTTTTCATCTGATTGGACCAAGCTTCTTGTCAATCAACAAAAAAAAAAAGAGGGAGAAGACCAATATGTGGCTTTTAGAAAAGAACTGCAGACATTTCACCACGAAATAAAAAACAAGCTTACAGCTTAAATAAATAGATGTGTGCGTGTCTGTTAGCAAAATATTCCAAGAACCACTGGACAAATTTTAATGAAACTACTGGAAGGGACAGGATTCATTCAAACTTTATTTATACAGGTTAGTCTCATTGAGTTTTGAGGACTCATTTACAAGAGAGACCTGTTTAGGGAGCAGATGGGGGTTAAGGGCCTTGCTCATGGGCCCAGGGTGGGGCGGATGAGGGTGGGGGCAAGTGTTGGTACTTCACCTACCCCACCCACATTTTTGATGTTGTCTGTACCGGGGATGTGAACCATCGATCTTCCGATCACAGGCCCACCTCCTCTAGCCTCTGCACCACCACTCCCCCCAGCAGATGGGGGGGGGTTTAAACAAAGAACGAAGATGAGATACAGATAACTAGACCATCATAAAAGCAGATGAAATGAAAAGTAAATAGAATAAATTATAATTAAAAAATGAAATAAAACAGCTCCATTATAAAAAAAAAAAGCTACATTCAATTATCATACAAATACCATAATTGCCAGTCTATAAGCTGCTACTTTTTTCACATGCTTTGAACCCCACAGCTTATACAATGCTGTGGCTAATTCATGGATTTTTAATTTGTGTGTGTGTGGGGGGGGGGCGG